GTGGTTATGGTGACATAACATTTACACGCTTGTGCTTGTTGCAGAACGAGGAAAGAGGAGTTGCAGCTGTTGGCTGAAGTTGAAAGTCGGAGACGAGAGTGAAAACGTTAAGAACAAGAAAGAGGAGGAGAGAAAGAGAACAAAGGCTAGAAGACGGCACACAGTGTTCCAAATCAGAAACAAATCTCCAAAATGAAATAAATCGCGAACCAATGCCCCTAGCGAAATGAACCCAACGGCATTTTAAAGCTGAAATGATGTAGAATAAAGGAAACATGGTCGCGTATAAATCACTTAAACTTTTGACCTTTAAAGTTCAAATTTTCTCAAGAAAAAAGAGTTTTTCGAGTTTTAAATATGGTTCAGTAATTTTTTTTAAAAAAGTAAATTGGCCATTTTGTAGCTTTTTCAATAACAAATAATAACCTGTCATTCAAAATTTTTTGTTGTTTATTTTTGAACAAAAAAAATTAGGTCAAAGTATCAACATTTTCAAAGAGTCTATAATCTCACCACATAAGACAGAAAATATCTATAACAAGCATATTATATAGATTATTTCTATGTAATTTTTCCCTCTGAACACCACTCCGTAGTCAGAAGTGGCCTACCACGTTCCGTTCTCATTTTTAATGCGAAATACTCCTTAAAATACGGCTAATTCGCGATTAAAAAATGAACGGAGCATTACGAAGCGATTCTACTTCAGGTTCAGATTCAGCGAATTTTTTCTAGAAAACAGTGAGTTTGCTTTCGTGTCTGTAAACGTTCTCCAAGATGTAAGAGTGATATTTTTGGATCTGATAAGTACATGGCTCGATTAAATACATCCAAAAGTCTATGTTCTCGACTGTCTTGGCGAGCCCTATGTATCATATTCCTCCTGTTTAATTTGTGCCATGCTTCACTCGAATCTTCGGAGTAATATGCTATAGGCAAAGAAAATTTCCGAGACATTTCGCATCCATGTCTTAATAATTTATGCGTGGAAACGTTCATCCTACTCCACGAATATAATGTATAATGTAGTTCATATGTCTCAAAACAAAACTTTTCGAGTTTATCCAAATCTAATCGGTTTTTTGACTTGAAGCAAATTAAATTTTGTGCTATATTTTTAACTAAAGTATGATCCAACTTTAAACTATCAGCAAACAATATAGGATCACTGAAGCATCTTCTCGCCAGATTGCCCGTATTGGTCGTTCCGTGCCCTTGTAAGCATAAATCGACTTTAACTCCAAAGTTATCGTATAGTACAGTTTGAACTTTCCGTTTCTGTTGCTTGAAAGTTTCTAATGAAATAAAATCAAAAATTTAAGCAATAAGCAATCATCTTTAATTATAAAATCAAATAAGTCAACAAATATATAACCAATGATAGGATAATCTTACCCTGTAAATTGGCACGCACATCCCATGTTTTTATTGTTAGTCTATATGACAAGTGTAATAAATTTTCATACGCTTTTATCTCGGCATGCAGTAGCCCTAATCCAAATAATAATGAGTCTTTATTAGGAATAAATTTTTCTTTCATATTTCCGAATTGATGTGTCGTTTTTAAACATATAGGGCATCTGGTGGTAGCGGAATTTCCTACCAAAGTATTAACGCATTTTCCGTCAAACATTGTTTTATGTAGAAGATATGTTGCGCAGACCGATTTGCCATTTTCCAATTAAAATTTATGTTTTTTTAAATAAGTGATTTCTTCATTTAATCGTCTAATCTCTTTTGTTATTGCCGCAGTATCCTTCTTTTCAAAAGACATTCTCAGTGGTCGAGTTAAACGAATGCTTTGAGGTGTAAGGTTTAACCAAACATAATTATCGTTATAACTATTGGCAATTTGAATAACATTAAAACAGGTAACAAAAAGAGACTGCTGAGCACTGGTAATATTTTTATCTGGACTATTAGATTTTTGTTGAGGATTCAAATGATTAGCAGAGCTATCAAAGCCAAGATTTACTGTCATTTCTAAATTCAATAAACTCATATCGTCCCAATCTTTTGCCTCACTGTTAGCTAAGTGTTTAACAGTTTTATTTAAAATAGCTTGCAAGTTTACTATGATTTCAGTTTCGGACTCAACCCCTGTGCCAATAAGACATTCCATTTTGGCCGCCTCTATCTCCAAATAAGGTGGGAAAATCGAACAATTTTTCGATTTACAATATGCTACCAACCCTTTGTATTGACGCACACTATAGTCATAGTCTAAATAAAATGATAAAGCAGAATCTTTATCATGCCGAATTATTGAACTCTCATTTTCTTCATTTTTATCAATTCGTGAATTAATATTACACTTTGTTTTTGCAATTTGCAAAGTCCGTTCTAATAGTGCGATGTCATTATTACATTGAGTTGCAATTTCTTCAGCTCTTCTATTAAAAGTTGATATAGAGACATTAGATTTAATATTCTTGTGTTTCCTACCAGTGCGCACTGTTTGCCAAACTCTTTTGGGTGGCCTTCCTTTTCTATTATGTGCTTTTGTTTTGGGCCTTTTTTTTGTTCGACCCATGATGTCTAATATTGTGAACTGTAAATGTAAATCTAGATAAAGAGCGTTTTTTCACATTAATTGTTTATAATACACATATTAATAAATTAATTTATGCAATTTCTCATCAAATATTGATAAGTTAGATTTGCAAGAGTCTAAAAAATATATATGTGCACGTATAGAAATTAAAAATTTAATGGAAATATAAAAGAAACCGAGACAAAAAAAGTTGTACTTATATGTACCATTACCATTCAATGGGTTAAATATATTGTATATGAATGCATTAAAAAGCTTTTTTATAGATTTTTATACAATTTTTTTTCTTTTTGTCCCGTAATCTTGATTTTTGCTAGTATTTTTTGATTCGTTTATGCGTGGATTAAACCACATTATAATTTTCTGGACTTGTGATGCACTTAATACCTACCAAATTTTATGTAGCCAAATAATATATTTCTATCTTGAAGTAACAAATTTTCTTTATTGCCAAGAAAAAATATTGAATATGAAATATGATCTTGAATGGCACACACGATTGAAAACTCAGGCTCAAATATATAAACGACTTACGAGACTCGTGACCTTAGCAAACTACAGTGTGTAAATAACAACCAGAGAGGCACACTCTACAAATTCCTTTTTTACTTGCAGTACCTACCTTCTATAGTTGTCATGACACTGCCATGGCCATAGCATTCATGTATATATATTCATGTGTATTGATTTTGATTGATTCGCTGAATCTGAACCTGAAGTAGAATCGCTTCGTAATGCTCCGTTCATTTTTTAATCGCGAATTAGCCGTATTTTAAGGAGTATTTCGCATTAAAAATGAGAACGGAACGTGGTAGGCCACTTCTGACTACGGTGTGGTGTTCAGCGGGAAAAATTACATAGAAATAATCTATATAATATGCTTGTTATAGATATTTTCTGTCTTGTGTGCTGAGATTATAGGCTCGTTGAAAATGTTGATACTTTAACCTAATTTTTTTGTTCAAAAATAAACAAAAAAAAATTTTGAATGACAGGTTATTATTTGTTATTGAAAAAGCTACAAAATGGCCTATTTACTTTTAAAAAAAAAATTACTGAACCATATTTAAAACTCGAAAAACTCTTTTTTCTTGAGAAAATTTGAACTTTGACCTTCATTTTGAAGGTCAAAAGTTTAAGTGATTCATACGCGACCATTTTTCCTTTATTCTACATCATTTCAGCTTTAAAATGCCGTTGGGTTCATTTCGCTAGGGGTATTGGTTCGCGATTTATTTCATTTTGGAGATTTGTTTCTGATTTGGAACACTGTGCGGTAGTTTGAGGGGAGGATGAGAGCGATACACGTCGCAAATTTCCAAAAACCACGGCGCGGTTTAATGCTTAATTGAAGTGATGTAAAATTGTCAAAGAGATAAAATAAATTAATGAAGTATAGTCTTACAGTATCGTGTGCTTTGGTTCAAATATGCGTTTTATTTATTTGAGAATGATCGTATTGAGGATTACTGTTTTGTAACAGGCCCTAATTACTTGTTGAAGTATGTTGCATAATATTGAAATAGATCATTAAACAAATAATATAGGTCATTAAACGAAAGCACGATTTCATGAGTGAAATTACGGATTTATTCCAAGCTAGAAAATGTTCAATGTACACAAATGTAAAAGTACAGAATGTAAGTAAATGTGACAAAGTATAAGTATAGCAAAATCGCGTCAATTATTGAACCGGTATAATACGGAGTTTCATATAAGAACTGCTTTTTCGGGCATCAACAAAAGACTTTTTTAGCATGTGATATGTTGATACTGTATAATTGAACTGACGTAATTTCATAATTTGATAATTGTCTTGTGACGTTTCATTAGCCAGTATGCTGACAGTACGTCATTGCATGACCAAATTTTATAATTTAATAATTAACATTTTGCAGCAATACTTATAAGTCAGGTAAATGAACAAAGTTATTATTCTGGTGAGATGAGAAGAGTTGCCGCATATTAATTTGATTTAAAATTTATTCAAAATTTCTGTTCGCCAAAGTTACTGCGTTAGTAAGAGCTATGATGATAAATTTTCGATCCATTATAAACATCGAATTGTCTGAAGTTTGATTTTTTAATTTTTATTATTTTATTCGTAATATATTTATACAGCTCTATTCATTTTTTACAAAGAGACTGTTTTACCGATTGAAAACATCAGATAACTCAAATGTTTATCTTTCGTCATTTCGTTTCCTCAAATAATTCATGTACTCTAACAGAGCGTAACTTGGTTCAACCTATCCTATTTATCATCTTTATAACACAGTTTAAAGTATCTTAAATAACGGGAAGAGAACGAACAAAGTATTTTGTAAGCATTTTGCGCCTTGTATATATGTGTGACTCTTGACGCGTTGAATGTATCGCAGTGCATGTAACCATTCAATTTATTTACCTAGCTCCTATATATAAGATTTAAGTTATAAAAACTTACCATTAGTGTTTTTGAGTTTCCTCCAAGAGAATCTTGAAGTAGTCGTGTTAATTTGGAGTTTCTATAAGGTACGTGGGACGTTTGACCATCGACAAGAGCTGAAATGACATTTCCTAATGTTGATAAGGATAAATTGATTTTTGTTGCTTCTCGTAATCGAATTCCCGTAGCTTTGGATTTACTTTGTCGTTCAGAGCCCTAAAAATAGAATAATGTGTAAAAAATAATATGTAAAAGCTCTAAAAAATATAATAATATAAAAATAATATATAACAATTCTCTTTCACAAAATTTTATCTAGAACTGAAATAACACAAGCTGACACAAATTTCAAAATGAAGAAATCCAGAAAAGCAATATTTTATTTTAATAGGTTTTTGAAGCCTTGAATCTATACTTGGCTTCAGAATTTTACCATCATCTAAGATTTTCGAGATATCCTAACCTAAAAGTGCCAAAATCACTATTAACTCATTCAGAGTCACATTTTTCTGCTGCACCTACTCCAGATATGAAAATGTTTATAAGAGTTATTGGGATCACTGATCTGAAGTCAAATTTTCAAATTTCGTAATGGAGAATGCAATATAGTGGGCAAAATTTAGAAAAACTAGTGTATAAAGGTTTATAATTTGTATACATAAATAATAACAAGCAAAATCATTGAATTCTGTGAATTTAAGTACTTCAGCAGTTTCGTAACAACATTAAAAAAGCCAATTGTTAATTGTGTGTATCCAGCGTATTTCAGACTCCTAAAACACCAGTAAATTATGACGATATAACCCCAGATTCTTGAACCTCAATTATATTAACTTACGACCCCTCTAACCTACGACCATATAAGTCCAGACCACACGACCCCTGTAACGTGTGATTTTAACGTTGTAGCAAAGCTACTAAAAGACTTGACATTATCAATGATATCTCGATGATAAACAAGCTGTCTTTTTTAGACATTTTAAATCAAAAAAGGTCATTCTAATTAGGCGGAATCGTTAATAGGCTAAGTTTTTTTACTTAATTTTTTATGTCAACATAGTCACTCGGTGGTATCTGTAGTCGCCAATGAATTCTACTGAAGTTAGAATTTGAATAATTTCGTAATCTCTTTCGTAATCTCATAATTCCAATAATTGAAATTATTACCACTCTCAGCTCAACCCAGAAATAGAAACGAATACGTGGTGGTAATAAGTCTCCATTTAATATAATCCATTAAAAACTCTTTTTGAGTTACTGAATACGAACATACCTTTCAAGAACTATGAAATATCCTTATTCCATCAGTAAAGGAAGCAGTAAAGCAATTTTTGGTTCTCCATTCTTTTTTTTTCAACAGTGATTCACTAAACAGGCATTAAACGAGGGGTGTTAAAAAATTAAGGTGACTTTATGGTTTTCCCAAAAAATATTTATTTATTGGTCAATATTTATGTTGTTCCCTGTATTATATTCCCTTCAGAGTAATACCCGTTAAATATGATACACTTGTGCCAGAGCTTTTTCCAATCATCGAACCACTTTTGATAATCATTTTGAGGTATAGCCTTGAGTTCTTTCAACAATGCAGTTTTTGTTTCCTGAATCGTTAAAAATCGATGTCCTTTCATTGGTTGCTTTAGTTTTAGGAAAAGAAAAAAGTCACTAAGATCAAAATCCGGTAAATATGAAGGCTGAGGCATGACTGTGGCGTTGGTTTTGATCAAAAAACGTTGGCTCACAAGCAACGACGAATGAGCAGGTGCATTATCATGATGCAAAATCTACGAATTATATTTCCAAAGTTCCGAACATTTTTTGCGTATTACCTCTCGAAAAGGACACATAACTTCAAGGTGATACTCCTTATTAATCGTACGACCTTGTGGTAAGAATTCCTGATGAACTACGCCACGGTAATCAAAGAATACAGTGAGCAAAACCTTCACATTTGATCGAACTTGACGTGCTTTTTAGGGTGTTGGCTCTTCTGGGATCTTCCATTGGGACGATTGAACTTTAGTTTCGACATCACAACCACGATTCATAACAATTAAATCCCTTTTCAGAAAATCAGAATCTTTATTGACTTCATTCAACATCTCCTGAGCGATGGTCATGCAACGGTTCTTTTGATCAAAATTAAGAAATTCTGAAAATAATTTCGCTGACACACGTCTCATGCTCAAATCATCCGAAAAAATATCATAGCATGAGTCAACCGATATGTCAACATCTTCTGCAACTTCTCTGATGGTGATTCGACGATTTTTTAACACAATTTCTTTCACTGTTGTTTTCCTCCGTTATTGATGTGCTAGGACGTCTAGGACGAGGTTCGTTTTCGACATTCTCTCGGCCTTCTTGGAACAGCTTATACCATTTATACACATTTTTCTTACTCAGAGTAGTCTCACCATATGCAATTGTCAACATTTCAAAAGCTTTAAAGAACTGGATTCCATAGCATTTTTTACACAAAATTTAATGCAAACTCTTTACTCCGTTCTTTTCGATAGAAGAAAATCGCCGAGCACACCAAACATTTCTAATCTCTGACGCCTCTGCCAGAAAAGTAATACGTGTTATACAATAAAAACTGTGAATATATGATAATCGTGAATGTAACAACATAACGACAATAATTTAAAACTTGAATGTACGAAAAATGGAAAGTCACCTTACTTTTTGAACACTTCTCGTACTTCTGTCAACCTCAAATATATTTCAACTTTGAACCTGTCTTACAAACTTAAACTAATTTGCCTAAGTTTTCCCTCAGAACAGTTACAGTTCATAAGGTAGAGAAATCCCTTACCATCGACACATCTAATCAAGGTCTTGAAGGAATATTTTCAAGAATGTTGAAGCCAATTTCCCATAACCTTATCAATATCTCCATATATCCAAGTACTTTTTCTTCCATCTGGAAAAAAAACACAAACCCGTCCATTCTTTAATATTCGGAATCCTTTCTCGCCATTTAACACTCACCTAATGGCTAAAAAAAACCCCAAGACGCCTTTGGGAAAAGTGGTTTCGGTTAATTTGGCTGCATTTTTGATATGTTACTCATGTTGGCGTCCTGAACAAATGTCTCAATGGGCATAAAGCTCAAATCTCAATAGGTCCCAAGATAGGGCCCGCTGAAGTCAGTATACCAGTGCTATACACTTTTTGTTCTACTCAGTACGGTGGTTTCCATTAATATGGCCCGATTTTCGGTTTAACACGTCTCAAATAACTACTTTAATGAGCCCGAACCCTACAACTCAATGGGCTCGAAGATTACCTCGGGGTCAAGGTCAAATCAAGGTCAAATCAAGGTTATCGCATTAATCTTGGGCTAGGGACCGTTTCTATATGTTTTTGAGGTCAATGAATCAGAATCCGGAGTCCGTTTCACTCGAGCAGGTCAGGTTCAAGGTCAGGTCAAGGTCAAATCAATAAAATTCATATTAAACGAAGTGAAAAAATACATTTACATGTTTTTTGGGTCGCCAAATCCGAATCCGGGGTACGTTTAACCCCTCCTTAAACGTTGGTACATTTGTACCTATTTTTATAGTGATTGAATCCGCAATTAAGTATATTTGTAAAATTATTCCACATACAGATAAAATGGAAGCAAAAATAAAACAAAATAATCAAAATCCGTATTAGTCAAAATAAAAGGAGGGACTCTTGCCGTTTGCATTAGCATTACCCAGAGTTTACCACGTGGAGGCTGCAAAGTCGGACTTAAACTCCTTGATCATCGTTAGTCTATCAGTCATTATAGTTATTAAGTCTTGTATTTGTCGAATCTGTCTATGCTACCGTTACTTTTGTTGACTTTTTAATATTTATAGGTACTGACCTTTTTAATCTTTTATAATCTTTTACAAATCTCTATTCTTCACCACCGATTATTAATTAGTCTTGATGTGCATCATCATCATTATTTCTGTGACCGGCATCTAGAATGTATCTAAGAAACGTCGTACTAGGATACTGTATGTTCTGTTCATATCGAGCCCACCCAAGAAACGATAGAATACTTGCAATATGTTCACAGCAACCTAAAGTCCTTGCCCCAGCCTAACAGGTACAATAATATCCTAGTATAACATCACCTTCATCTTCATCTACCATTCGATCATCTTCAATGTCTACTCGAAAAGTTATCCATAACACAGGCCAACAAAATTTGACAAAGGTTCAGAACCAGAGACCAGACATAAAATATTGTAAAGATTTTGATGCACTGAATCCAAATCCGAGCTCGGAATGGCCCCAGCACGTCAGGATTTTGAGATATCCTAACCTAAATGTGCGAAAATCACGTATTTTGGCTATATTCGGTACTTTATAACATTGCGAATAAATTTTTTCATGCAAAACTTACAAAGGCATCTGAAAGAGCAACTCTTGGCCTACAAAATGCACTACGGATTTTTGTTTTTATCTCTTTTGGTAATGTAGATATCGTTGTTTGAAATTTAACACCTATGAATTTGTTTATACTGCGAGACACCAGAACGAGTGACCAGACATAGTATACCCAAAGGATTTTGGTGCGCTGAATCGAATTCCGAGCTCAGAATTGTGCTAGTACGTCAGGATTTTGAGATCTCCTAACCTAAAAGTGAGAAAAAAAAGTTTTTTTGGCTATATACGGTACCTTATAACATTGCGAATAATTTTTTTCGTGCAAAATTGACAACGGCATCTAAAAAGCAATTCTTATCGTACAAAAGCACTAACAATGTTTAGTTTATGTCTTCTTTTATCGTCAATTCAAATGTACTACTTATCAATTGGTTTATACGGCAACGCAATGAATTTCGACTATTATAACTCAAATCCCTGATCTTGGAGCAGTGTAACCTGCGGGGCAATAAATCTTGCCCACTTAACCCTAAATCCCTTAACCCCCGAGCCCTGTGACCTTCGATGCAATAATCCCCGTTCCCTTAACCCCAAATATTTTAACCCAAGAAGGTCATAACAAGCGCGGCAATAAAACCTGCCAACTTAATCCCGAACTTCTTCACCTTGGAATCCTGTAACCTGCGATACAATAGCCCTAGATTCCTTGTGGCGCAAATTACTGGGCTCAGGCATTAAGGGATTTGCGTAACGGCATCGAGGGTTATATCATCACAGGTTTCAGGGCTACAGGGTTATCGGATTTAAGGTTAAGGGGGCAGTTAAAGGTTAAGGGGTCGGGGGTT